ATTTGCATCAAATGGGTCGTTGGCTAGGAGGTAAAGAAACCATGGACCATGTGTGTTTGTCTTCAAGAGCTTGAATCTCAGAATTCATGGCTGCAATCCATTTAGGGTCATGACGGCCCCCTCATAAGAGGCTGGTTCGACCAGGTAGGATATGTTGTGTACAAATGATTTGTGAGAATGAGATAATCGAGAGTATGAGACGTACCGTTGAAGCGGATATCGCGTACCGTACATAGAGGAAGGGACAATGCTGGGCATGAGCAAAGCAGCATGATGGGTCTGATAGTCATTGAAATGAACAGATGGATGTTTAATTCGGTCAGAACGACGAAGTGGAAGAAGAGCGGGCTGGGGTGGAAGGGCGGGTTGTGGTGGTGAAGTGGGTTTAGGGGTGGGTGGTGAGAGGTTTTCTAAATTTTTTGTGTAAGAGTTGGAATTAGTGGGGTCTGTAGGTGGATTTGGATTTGGTGGTGTGGGTGTTTGGGCTGAGACTAAAGGAGAATATGTGTCATCATGTGGAATGGGTAATACGGGGGAATCTAATTGATTTTCTGGTGGTGAGGTAGCAAGATGAAAAATGTGCTCGTGAAAAACGACGTCACGAGATATGAAAATTTGCTTGCTATCAAGGTCATAAACTCGATAGCCCTTTTAACCAAAGGGATATCCCAAAAGAAGAAAAAACAGCGACGTGCATGTGTGTCGAACTTGTGCAAGGGAGTAAGATTGGTGGCATAACATAAACACCCAAAAACCCGAAGATGAGAATATTCGGGTGGTGTGCCGTGCAAAAGTTTATAGGGAGATTTATATGAAAGTAAGGGTGTAGGAAGGCAATTTATGAGATAACAAGCGGTTTGTATGCTTTCCCCCCAAAACTTTAAATGTAAATTGGCTTGAAAACGTAATGCACGACTAACATTCAAAAGATGCCTATGTTTGCGCTTAACCATCCCGTTTTGTTGAGGAGTGTGAGCACAAGTATGTTGAAAAATGGTGTCATAAGCCTTTAAAAACGCACTCATCAATACAAATTCACCCTTATTATCGACAACATAAAGCAATACCACATTGATAGAATCTTCACGAACCTGAGTAAACAATGAATAATCAACACATGATTGTTGGAAACCAGTCCCTTGAATGGCAGATGAGAATCGTTGGAACCAACTACGAAAGGCATGTTTGAGTCCGTATAAGGACTTGTGCAGTCGACAAACCATGTTCTCCCCTAACGACGAAAACCAAGAGGTGGTAGTATATATACACCCATTTGCAATATTGCACAACATGATCAGCATTCAACATTATATTGGATTGTGGATAACGGGGTAACATATGACATTTCTCATCTATCACCCAACGATAACAAAACAACAACACAACATGATTTTGTTGGTTTACCTAATGGAGGACAAGGTGCAATTGAAAGCATTGGGTCCATTAAATTGTCATAAGAGATATCTCTTGTTGGAGTTTTACATGTGCCGAAATTTTGTGTAAACTTATTGTCTGTGAGCAAATTTACTCGGGGGTTGAAATGTAACGTAATATTTTATCCCGATTTTTGTATTGTGCAGGACATGGATACGAAGAGGACGATTGGCTTGGGCAAGCATTTTCATGGGCTTTACTACCTCACACCAAGCCAAAATCCTCACCTAGTTAATCATGTTAACCGCACCTCAGGACTTTGGCACCAACATCTTGGGCACCCATCATCAGCCCCTCTTCACTCTTTATTCCAAACCATCCCAGAAATCATATTTGATTCCAAGCATGTTTGTGAGGTTTGTCCTTTAGCAAAGCAAACTCGTTTATCTTTTGTTTCAAGTTCCATAAAATCGGTTGCACCTTTTGATTTGATTCATTGTGATATTTGGGGACCACACAAAATTCATACACACACCGGAGCACGTTATTTCCTAACTATTGTAGATGATTTTACTCGCTTCACATGGGTTCATCTCATGCGTTTTAAATCTGATACACAAGCCTTGTTGAAATCATTTTTTTCTTGGGTCAAAACACAATTTAATCGTGAAATTATGTTAAAGCGCGTTTTGTACCGTCGGGGTTGCCGGCCGCTCGGTGGGTGAAGAGCTCTGTGTGTGTGTGTCTCCTAGGAGAGAATATAGCAGCGGAAGAGTGAAGGCAGAGCAGAGCAAGGATTAATCCTGCTCTGATACCATATTATTTTTTTGTAATATTTCTTATTGATGAGCCTTACGGGAAGGCTATTACTTATAAACATTACAAGTCAAACTTTACACCTACTAAGCAAGCTTTACACCTTAAGCTATAATTGCAATCACATAAAAACAGCTGTCACATGATCCTTGTTGGCACACAAGGGAAAATGGAGATGATGAGGCCACATGATCCCTACTGTCTTCCTTAGTCGCAACCGCATACAAGGACGAAGCTAGTGTAGGTCTAGGGGGTGGATGTCCCAACTCATTTAAAAAAAATGTATGGATGCGTTCCAATTCTCAATAATCAGCTCTAATTAAACTACAATTAAAAAAATTGGTAGGCAACTAAACTAGTCTACCGTTTTGGATCCCAAATGTCCTACCTAATGACAATTTAATTAACAATTAATTTAATTGAGCCTCCCTGTTTTTCTAACCCTAGGTCGTTAATTCACACAAAACTCATCCCACCACGTACGGCAAAGTAATTCCAGTCCTCAATTTCTCCAGATTTTTCCTCCCCTTTTATTCAACCAAAACTCAATTGACTTTGGAGTGTTATAGATAGTTGGAGTTCAAGTAATCAATTATCAAAATTCAACACAAGAATTTTACTCCACAAGGTATTTTATACGACTTTACTTCATTAATTTGTTTTTGGCATTTCAATTTAGAATTTAGCTTTCTAATTTTGAGATCATTGGATGAATGATAACATGATTACTTTTATATAAAGAGATATTTAATGGTATTAGTAATGATATTGTTATGCAACGCTTTCAAAACATGAAATCGATTTGAGAAATAATGTAATATGTTGTATGAAAAAATTTATGGATTAATATATTAGTGTTTTGTTCAATAAATTCTTGAGATTTTTAATTGTGATTTTGTTATTTGAGGATGCCTCCGCTCATACAAATCTCTGACTTCGTCTCTGACGACGTACCCCGACCACCCTATTTCGCCAGTGAACATCGCCCTCCTCGCCACCTGCCACTACCGGCCAAGTCTCCATGCTCTTTCTCTTCTCTTTTTCTTCGAAGCTGTTCTCTCCAGCACAAACAACCCCACAAAGCAGAAACCAAACCCACACTAAAAATCCAAGCCTTCATTTTTACACACTGAAACACTGAGTTTCCCATTTATTTTTCAAAACAGAGAGACCCAGATCAACGTGAGGATGTAAATGTAAAAGAGTTTCACATCAATAAAAGAAAATTTTTTACAATGGCTTATAAGAGATTGAACTACTCCTTATATTGCCAATTAGTTTTGTAGTGGAACTTTCAACTTTCTTCAATTAAAATCCAACAATCAAAAACCTCAGATAATGATAGTTTCAATCCCAATTTTACAAATTTGAAACCAAAAAAAAAATCCAGAATTTCGCCAACAAAATCTCGTTTTATTAGAACCCGTAACGCAGAATTTGATAGATGAGTAAAAAAAGTAGTTCTTGTGCACTGCAAGTTTTATCGGCGATACGAAAAAGGGTTTAGGCGAGAGGAAGAGCCCCTTGGTTCTTTACATTTAGGTTTCGGAGATAACAAGATAATTAACACTGTTGTGTTAAGTGGAGTTGTCACGAAATTAGAAAAGTCACAAAGAGGCCACTTACATTTGGAGGATAATTCTTGTGTTCCTCCAGTGAGAAAACCAATTAGTATTCCTACTTACAAATAACGAATCTTTACCATCTGAACATCATAGTCGGAGCCGTTCATTCTCTTTATCATCATCTAAATATCATATTTGTAAAAAAAAAAAACATTCAATTTGGAGACATATAGTTAAGTCATTCGTCATTTAGGAAGACTTCAAAAGAGATTTGAATATAAGACATGAAGTACTTGGAGCTGACGGAAGACTAGTCTCAAAACCAAATGTGTGGCATTCTAGGATTCACATGAGAACACAAACATTATCCCGTTTTGGGTGGAGAAGATTCGAGTCCTCACCCTCTCTCTCATTTATCTATATATAAAACTGGAAGGCTGTTTTGGTGTCACCAGCTTCGATAAAAAAAATTGGACCAAACTGCCCCTCGGCCAAAAAATCCAAAAGCAGCCCAATACAATATATCAAATAATGCAAGGGTAATTTGGTAATTTGATCATCATAAAATATAATATTATAGCAATATATCAAATAATGCAAGGGTAATTTGGTAATTTGATCATCAAAAAATATAATATTATAATACAAATAATAAGTGGGGAGGGAGAAAAAAATAAAATAATAGAAGGATAAGTGAAAGTTGATGGTGCCCACGTGAAGGGGAAAGAAAAATATAATAAAAAATAAAGAAAATCATAAATGCTGTGTTCAAAATATCTTAAGAGGCGTGTAGCGTCGGTGATAAATTAGTACTGTTTTTTTTTTAATTAGTACCTTACAATAAGCTTGGAATAATGTGATTCAATCAGATGTTCTTGAAATATTATTTTCTCTATTTTTAAGTACATTCAAAATATCTTAAGAGGTGTGTAATGTCGGTTAAAAAAAGATATTTTCCACGCGGATAATAATGTGATTTGCTAGTTATAAAAAAGATCTTTCCCAAGCGGATAATAATGTAATTAAATTAGTTGTCAAATGATTGTTTTTTTTTAACAAACGATATCTGATCTAAGATTATTCATTTACTTCAAATATTTAACTTTCATTTTGTCAATTTACGCATATAAATACATTTAAAACATGTAAATCATGCATAACATGCCGTGATTTAAAAAATACTTTCTGCTCGTGCATGAGCACGTGCATGAAGGCTGGTCTCTCTATAAATGCATGAACTTGCAAAGCTATTCTAGCAAATTAGAAGCTTCCAAAAAAAATTATACCAAATTAGAAAGCATATTAATCCAACTCGTAGGTGAGATGATGACGTCTCAGCTTTATGCCCCATCCTTCTCTCTCTTACCAAAATCGTCCATTAACCCTAATCATCTGATTAAGGATGGTAGCCCCTCCCTGATCAGCATCGTTCCGCGCCACCATGTCCATCAAAATCGTAATAAGAAAAAATCCTCATCCTTGGTGATCCGTGCCACTTCTGGTGAGCTCAAATCATCACCTGCATCAGTGTTCACGGTTACTTCAACGGAGAATCAGGCGTTTACGGTAAAGGCTTTGGTGACGGTGACGGTAACAGCTGGAGGGTCCAGCATACGCTTGAATCGTCCCCCCGATGACAATATCGACTTGCTTCGAAAAACCTTGCTTTTGGAGCTTGTTGGCGCCGAGCTTGACCCCAGTAAGCAAGCAGTACTCTAAGCATACAGAATATATATATATATATATATATATATATAACATTTCCCATTAGAATAAACACAAATAGATTGTCTCACAGCCTCAGCCAGTTTGACCGTACGTAGTTAATAATTATCTTAAATTTATATCTTTACATCCACAAATATTTTTAGAGTTGAGAGTTTTTTTGTTTGATACAAGTGAGTTTTTTTTCTTTCTATTATATTTGTTGTTCATTAATTCGTTCGAGTTTTATTTTTTTTGCACGAAAATAACAAACGATTTGCCCAAGGTTATTCAAAACAGCCTTTCTTTTTATCTTTATAAAGAAACCAATTGGAAATCAACTCTAATCAGACACCTGATTCAATGGACAGAAATCCCCTTTCAAATCTATTTTCGGACTCTTTCTGTACTTGGATAATCGATTGGTTTCAGGTCTATACAAGTGATTTTAACATATCAGTTTTAGCTTCTAACACATTGTTCCTTATTTATGTTAATTGAATTAAATAAATCAAACAGAATCTACTATCAGAATTACATAATAGGGATGTGTAAGAAGCTAAAAATGATGTGTGAAAATTACTTTCCATATTTATATAGCCCCCTCCAGTTGAAGGATGCCTCAAATAAAATTATTTGAGGAAGAGTGACACTTTGTGGTGCTCATTTCATAACTTTTTTTCAACGATTCAAATTATCTATATTTCAGCTCATCATTATAGATCATACTTGTACAAAATTAGACAAATCCAAAATCATTAAGGTATCTTATGATCCCATATTATACCATATATTTTACCCTATTCTTAGTTACAGTTTATTGGTTATTTTGGTAGAATTTTGATACTTTGAGTTATATTTCTAATATCGGACATTCGACTTCCTCTGAAGCAAAAAGTGATCAAACGAATGAATTTTGGAGTGATTCCAAGTGGAAGATGTTCGTGAGTCTTTCAAGATGATTATATCGAAATTCCAGATTTTTCTACCAAGCCGTTTGACCGTGGTGACGAAATAAAGGCCCAGCGCGCAGCTTTCCCAAATTGACGTTTCTGGATATTTTGGGTATTTTGGAGGTCAAGATGGGATATTTTGAGGAAGATTCCTTCTGAGGATTTGTAGGGGACGTCTCAAGCTTTAAAAAGAGACATTTTGAGATCAAATCGGAGTTAATTTGGTTGGTCAAAAGTGTGATTTTCTGAGAAATCCGAATTTTAGTTCAAATAGGAAACCTTTTATTTTCTGTTTTATTATTTTATTATGTTTCATAGTTTTATTCTAAGACTTTTTAGGGTTTTATTTTGTAGTAGTATAAATAAGACTTTTTAGCAGTTAGGAAAAAAGAAGAGAAGGAGAGGAGAGGAAACGCACAACTTCTGGATTCAAGTTTATTTTCTAGGTGTTTTCTATCCTTATTTTTAATAATATTTTGTTTTATGGTTGTTCGTAACTAATTTCCGTTTGCTAGGGTGAAGCATTGAGCCTTAGCATGAATATGTAGTCTTTATTCAATTGCTTATGATATTATGCATGTTTACTTTGAATTATTAATCACTGTGCTTAAACTGTCTCTATGTCTTAATGCTTAGCTACCATTAGGATGTTTAGATATTTGATGCAATTTTGGTCGGAAGGTTCCCTAAAATTGACGCTGGCTTCTTGTGATTAATAATTGCAATTTCACTTAAGATGAACACCACGTCTTAAGGGTTGCATGGTTTTTCAAAGGGTTTTCATAAAGCATAATGAATCTCTCATGTTCAAATCTGATCCGAACGTCCGGACAGGTTGCATGTTAGATATACGTTCTATGTTGGAGGTTCCAAGTAGAATATAAATTAGGAAAACCTAACCTTCAAAGTTGCATGTGTAATTTATAAGTAATTGATAAAACTACATAGGATTGTTAAGGAGATGGCGGAACCCTAGGCTTTAAACTTTATTTTTCAAAACTATTTTCTTTAGTTTTTCTTTGTTAATTTCTTAAATTGTTTTTATTATTTAAAATTCCAAAATCAACCTTTTCGAAATCTTGTTTTAAATAATTAGCTAAGGATTAGTTTAAATACAAATTATTCATTCAATCTCTGTGGAAAACGACCTTGCTTGAGCTACTATACTACGACTAACTTGTTCTCTTGCAAGTATTTTTTAGTGTTTTTATCCTTAGTTTTGCAGGTGGTAAAAATACCTATCAGTATCCATTTGTAGTGAAGAACATAGACGTGTACGGTTTAAAAAAGAAAAACACTCATTTGACCATTTAATCCAATGGTCAAATGGTTTCACATTAAAGTGATATTTCATAGAGATAATCTTTGAAGGAATACCAAAAAGATTGATAGTTTGATAATTCGAATACGATGTGAAGTGAACACAAAGAATCTCTATGTGGGATCCCTTCATGGTAGGAGACTATATATTACACACATATATCAGGCCCTTTTATGCAAAGGGATTCCCATTTTTTTTTAAAAAATGGGGATTAGGTGTTGGGCTCACTCCACATCGAACTTCAACGATCCGAACAGTCTATTTTGTAAGTCTTGATTCATAGATCATCCTTACAAAAATTAAACCATTTGCCTATTTAATTATCAAAATAAAATTTCATTGTTTCTTATATAACAAAGTATTCGTTAATTTCTTTGAACCCAACTAGATGTTTTAAACATTTCCGATTTAGCTAATATTTTGTAAGGATGATCTATCATGAGGTGCAACTTGAAAAATAAACAGTTCGGATCGTTAAAGTTCAATGTAGTGTGGACCATACAACTAATCCCCATTTTTATATAAAAAAAAATAGAGATCTCTTTCCTTAAAGATTTCATATATATGTGTGTGTGTAAACTAATCCCCATTTTTATAAAAAATAAAATAAAATAAAATAAAAAGAGATCCATTCCCTTAAAGAGTGTGTGTGTAAACTAATCCCCATTTTTATATAAAATAAAATAAAAAGAGATCCATTCCCTTAAAGATTTCATATATGTGTGTGTGCGCGTGCACGCAAACACAAATAACTATTTTCATTAGGGCTGCTCATTTTACCAACTCTTTTGTTGTTTTCATTTTTTTTTCTTTTTTTTAGTGGGAAAATCTTTGGTTCCGGTTACTTCTAATTGACTCTAAAATCTTAGAATTTTAAATGTTTAATTAATTTGAATACTTTAATTTGAAGGACAAAAAATGTTATTTTCGGTATTAATTTAAGAAATTTACTAACAACACTTTTATCAAGTCCTTCCCAAAACTTCATGCAAAGATTTTAATACCAAATAGGAATTTTTTTATTTTTTTCTACTTCAAATTGAATTGTGAGAAATATGATCAGCAATTTTTTTTTTTCAAGAAATAAAATGTTTTATTTTTATTTATAAATATATAGGTACTTGTTTATAAATTTAAATATAGTTAAATTTTATCATAAAATATGTGGTACATTATAAATAAAAAATAAATAATTTTTTAATCAATAACTAAAAAATGTTACATTTTATCATGATTCTTTTTTATTTCGTACGAGGAGGTTACGTTTTTTTTTTTTTTGCAAAATGTGAAAATACAAAATAGATCTCGTCTAGGGCATGACTATAATCTAATTTAATCTTTCAGTTAAGCTTAGCAATTTGTTTTTGTAGCAAGAGCAAATATTACTTAATCTAAGATTACATCTTAGCTGCACACTTGGACTATGATCCAAGGGCTGATATTTAAAGCTGACTTCTTATTATATTTCAGCATATACACTTATAAACTAACACTCCATTCTAAGTGATGTGCTGAAATCACTCCCAAAGCTGTCCTCAGTAATTCAAATCGATCCCTTGCCAAAGCTTTAGTGAATATATCTGCAATCTGCTCTTCAGTCTTGCAGTATACCAGATCAATTTCACCATCTTGAAGTGCATCTCGGATGAAATGAAATTTCCGATTAATGTGCCTGGTTTTGTGATGATGAACTGGATTCTTTGATATGGCAATTGCTGAAGTATTATCACACAACAACTTAGTTGGTTCTGCTTGTTCTTCCCCGAAATTAGAGAGTACAAATCTTAGCCAAATGGCCTGTGCAGTAGCTTCTGCTGCACTGATGTATTCTGCCTCTGCGGTTGAAAGAGAAACACTGCTTTGTTTGATTGAGGCCCAAGAAAACACACCAGAACCAAGATTGAATGCATAGCCAGATGTACTCCTCATATCATCTTCACTTCCACTCCAATCACTATCACAATAACCAACCAACACTACTCATTTTCCCTTCTCATAAACAACTCCATAGTTCACAGTGCCTTGTATGTATCTCAGAACTCTCTTAGCTGTCCCCATATGCTTCTTGGTAGGATTGTGCATAAACCTAGCCAATAAGCTTGCTGCAAACATAATATCTGGCCTTGTTGCTGTCAAATATAGCAAACTTCCCACCATTTGTCTATATAAAGTCTCATCTGCCAGATCACTTCCATCTACTTTTGTAAGTCTTTCATTCATAGCTAATGGTGTTGCAACCGGCTTGCAATCCCTAAGTCCAAATTTCTCAAGCAAAGTCTTTGCATATTTCTTTTGATGCAAGAAGATGTAATTATCTGTCTGCAGTACCCCAAGACCAAGGAAATGATGAAGTAATCCTAGATCAGTCATCTCATATTGTCTCATCATCTCACCTTTGAACTCTGCTATCATCTCCTTTAAACTTCCAGTGTAGATAATATCATCTACATATAGTGACACAATGAGAATGCCACTGTGAAATGTCTTGATATAAAGAGTAGCTTCACTCGGACTTCTGTGGAATCCAGCCTTTGCAAAATAGGAATTTATTTCTTCATACCAAGCTCTTGGAGCTTGTTTCAAACCATATAAAGCTTTCCTGAGCCTGTACACTTTGTCTTCCTTGCCCTGTATAACAAAACCAGATGGTTGATCCACATACACCTCTTCATTCAACACTCCATTTAGAAATGCAGACTTTACATCTAACTGAAATAATTTCCATCCTTTCTGTGCAGCAAGGGCCACCAAAGTTCTCACAGTATCAAGTCTTGCCACTGGTGCAAAAGTTTCATTAAAATCGATTCCAGGCTTCTGAGAGTAACCTTTTGCAACCAACCGTGCTTTGTTTTTCTGCACTGAACCATCCAGATTTAGTTTTGTTTTATAAACCCATTTGACTCCAATGATTGGTTTATCAAATGGTCTATCAACAAGATCCCAAGTATGATTCTTCTCAATCATAGAAATTTCATCTTCCATAGCCTTCTGCCATGATTCATCCTTGGCAGCTTCTTCAAAACATTCGGGTTCTATAATGCACAGATTACACTTCTCATAAATTTCTGCAATGTTTTTGTACTTGAGAGGAGTGTGATCAAAATCCTGTGGACCTGTCATTCTTTCTTGATCAGAGAGCTCAGTAACTAAGCTTGGCCCAACATTCTCTTCACTGAGTGTTTCAGAATCACAAGCACCTCCTTCACAGTTTTGTTCTCCTTCAGACATTTCAATGATCTGGATACTCTCCCTTCTTTCCTTCTGTGCATTCCAATCCCAACATGCTTCTTCATTAAACACAACATTCAATGTTATAAAGTCTATATCCCTTCTCACAACTACCATATCCCAAGAAAATACACCTCTTGCTTGCCAAATCGAATTTTTGTCTCTGTTGACTTGGCACATGAGCATAACACAAAGAACCAAACACCTTTAGATGCTTAATTCCTGGTTTTCTCCCACTGTAAGCTTCAAAAGGTGTCTTCTTATGTAAAGCTTTGGTTGGACATCTATTCAGAATATACACTGAGGTATTAACTGCCTCAGCCCAAAATTCAAGTGGGATGTCCTTCTCCAACATGAGACACTTAGCCATTTCCACAATGGTTCTGTTCTTTCGCTCTGCCACACCGTTTTGTTGTGGTGTGTATGGAGTGGTAAGTTGTCTTTCCATGCCTACATCTTCAACAAACTTGTTAAACTCCATTGAAGTGTATTCACCTCCTCGATCACTCCTAAGCTGCTTTAGATTATAACCACTCTGCAACTCCACAGTGGCTTTGAACTTTTTAAACACACTGAGAACTTCAGATTTATGCCTTAAAAAATAAACCCAACACATCCGGGTGCAGTCATCTATGAAAGTAAGAAAATATCTATTGCCAGCTTTTGTAGTTGTCTGCATCGGACCACAAATGTCACTATGCACAAGCTCTAGAGGAATTGATGCTCTAGTATTAGCTTCCCTTGGAAATGCTTCTCTACATTGTTTGCCGAGAACACAACCTTCACATACTCCTTTAACTACTTTGATTTCTGGTAATCCTACTACCATTTCTTGTTCCTGCATCAATTTCAAACTGCTCATGTTTAGGTGTCCCAATCTTTTATGCCACATAGTAGTAGAAGCACATACATTTGCCTTGAAAGCAATATGTATTCCAGTCTGTAATTTCATTGGAAAACTTCGATTTCCCTTCATTGGAACTTTAGCAACCATGTTGGAATATGAGCTATCATCATAGATTTCCACCTTGTGACCTCCAAACACCAAATAATAACCGTGCTCCATCATTTGACCCACACTGAGCAAATTTTCTTTCAGTCCACGCACAAGCATAACCTCCTTGATATATCTCTTGCCTAGTTTAGTTTCAACTACAAGACTCCATTTACCAGTTACATCAACAAGCTGTCCAGTACCCATTTCAACTTTTGCAGTTACATTCTTATCAATATCCACAAGTAAATCCTCCATTCCAGTCATATGATTGCTACACCCACTATCTACATACCATACATCATCACAGTCCTTTACACTAGTATTAATTTGATTACTAGCATAAAACATGGTAGGTGTAGATTCTACCTTATTTGCATAATTGAGTTGTTGCACTGGTTTCTTGCTATTACAATCCCTTGCAAGATGACCAAACTTATCACAGTTATAACACTTTGGTTTACCCTTGAATCGGCACTCACCAAAATGTAGCTTATCACAATATTTACAAGGATTTCTAGCACCATCAGTGGGTTTGTTATTCCCACTTCCCTTTTTCTTTCCAATTTCTTATTCTTATTATACCTTGCACTTTTTTGATTTCCAGTGAATTTAGCTTGGTTTGGGATTCACATTGAGACTAGCAAATGCTTTCTCAGTTTTGTGCTCAGAAATGTCTATCTAGACGTAGCTCAAAACTCTTCAAGGAAGCCACTACTTCTTGTACCTCAATCACATCCAAATCCTTCGAATGTTCAATAACAGAGAGCATATATAATCATATAGCTGATGGCAAACTAATCAATAACTTTTGAACAATCCTCTCTCGAGATAACTCATCTCCATAACTCCGCATTTTGATTTATCAGATCAAATAACTTTGTAAGATAAGATAAACAGAAAGTGATTCATCATCTCGCATTCTTGTATATTCAAATTCCCTACGAAGACCTTGCAATTTAACATTTCTAACCTGTTTATCACCATGGTACTCTTGTTGCAGAGTATCTCATGCGCCTTTTGAGGTTTCTTCATAAGAGATTCTGGGAAATATTTCATCTGAAACAGCTCCTTGAATCAGACCCAGAACTTTAGCATCTTTCATCAGTCTCTCAGCTAGAGATAGCTTCTCAATACTGCTCGACTCCTCCTTTTCTTTCTTCTTTCCATCAGATTCACCATCATCCTTCGAATCTGAACTCTCGAAACCTTTCTCAACCAGATCCCACAGTCCGTGAAATTTGAAAATCGTTTTCATCTTAATACTCCAGAACTCATAATTATCACCTTTGAAAATCGGTGTTCTCACCTCACTACTACTCGATCCTGCCATGTTAGACTCAGATCACAATCGACTCGATTTCTGGGTAACACTCTTCACAGATCCAAACGTCCAGTATCAATTGATCAAACCTGGCTCTGAGGCCATGTTAGCATACAGACTATAATCTTGTATATAAGTTTCAATCAATCTATGAGTACTAAAGAAGAGGAAATGAGAGTTTTAGAGAAAGAGAGAGTTAAGCTTGAAGAAGAAGAGACTCTGCACTCTATTTGATTCATACGCACACACTGAGCACATGTAGCAAGAGCAAATATTACTTAATCTAAGATTACATCTTAGCTGCACACTTGGACTATGATCCAAGGGCTGATATTTAAAGCTGACTTCTTATTATATTTCAGCATATACACTTATAAACTAACAGAAATTACCATGTGTTTTGACTGGTTTTGGCTGACTCAGGGCTGGTTTGGTATTGCTGTGCTTTGAAAAAAGCTGCTGTGAGAATAAGCGGCTGTGCTGTGAGAATAAGCGGCTGTGAAAAAAATTAGTTGAGTGTTTGGTAAACTTTTTTGTAAAAGTGCTTTTGAAAAAAAAAAAGCAGTCTGATAGTGGGTCTTTTCATTAAAGGAGCACTGTAGTTCCGTGTGCTTTGAAAAAAAACCAGTTTTCCAAAGCTACAAATAGCAGCTTCAGCTTTTTCCTTTGATTTCAGCTTATTCTCACATCAGCTTCCAAAATAAGCCCTTTTTTTTTTCAGTTTACCAAACATCTAAAACCCTCACAGCTTTTTTTCATGGGTGCTTTTGTTTTAAGCACCTCACTCCCAAACCACCCCTTAGTCTTCCACAAAATTAGTTGATGTGTTAATTTGTGTGAACATGTAATGATTCGAAGCAGTCGTACATACCATCAGAGACTCCAAGTGGGTTGAAGAAGCTAAGAGAATCTGAGCTACAGACTTTGCAAGGAGATGGGGCGGGCCAAAGAAAAACATCTAATAGGATCTACGATTATGATACTTATAACGACCTTGGCGATCCAGACCACGATGATAAACTGGCTAGGCCTGTCCTTGGCGGCAAAGATCACCCGTACCCGAGGAGCTGCAGAACTGGAAGACCACGCTCTGAAAAGGGTAATTATATAACCAACTAATTACATACTAATCCCTCAACCTCTTCTTTCTATCTCACTTGGAATATGAAGTCACGGCACGAGAGATATAGGGAAAAGAGGGGTAGAAACCCTTAGCAGCCAATTAGCTCCCATATATATGAAAATAAAAGGGAGACTTTGGATGCAGTCTTTAGTTATGAATATTCTTTTATTGAAACCTTGTTTGTTTTTAATTTTGATCGAGGTCCTTGAAATTAATGTAATAATTTATTTCTATGTACGTTACTATATTTTTTTAATTAAAAATTAGAAATTTTAGTTGTTTATATAAATGAGATTTTAAATATAAAAAAACCATAATTTGTGGGATTAAAAATATTAAAATATAAATTTTCTATTGTGTGTGTGTATATATATAAACATGGGTACATTCGTCAAAATTAACTAAAAAAATTATTGTATCAAAACATGGGTACATTCTTCAAAATCACAACAACAAAAAAAAGATATTAGGCTTAATAACATTAGTAAATTTCTTCGATTTAATTTGACATGGATACATTTTAAAATCAAAGAAAAAAGAATGTACCCATATAAGTTTAAAAATGGATTAGAAAAAAATTGAATAGATTTTATATAAAAAAAGGGTACATTTTACATATAACAAATTGGTATATTTAAGAATGAGCACATTTTAAGATTAAAAAGTTTTACATGAATGAGTACATATAATTAGCATGGGTACATTTAGCAAAATAAAAAGTACAAATAAAAAAAATATATGGGTACAAATACAAATAAACTTTAAAAAATATGGGCACAAAAAGAAATTAATATATGGGTACAAATTAAAACTGAAAAGAAAATTGGTATAAGTTAAAAAAGAATTACAAATTAAAAATGGGTACAAACTAAAACTAAAAATATATGATAAAAAATTTTAGTCATAAATATAAATATACTAATTGTAACATTTTTAACATTAAATGAATATATTTAGAAATAAAAAAATATTTTATTATTGAAATAATTAATGATGTTATTAATACCAAGGACCTTGATCAAAAATTGAAAATGATTAGGATTTTAATCAATAGAGTAGCAAAATGAAGGATGAGAACCTAATTTCTCCAAAATAAAACAGTGTTCTAGACACTGAAAACTAAAAGTTTGTTTTGGTTTGTGTCTCATAACACACATGTACAAAAATAAATTTGTGTTTATGCCTTTTGAAATGGAAGCTCATGTGCTTCAAGAACTTAATGTTAAGGACAATGATTCAAGCTATGAACCATTTTCTTTTATTATATGCTAATTTCGGATGTGGGAAACTGTATGACTGAGAAACTATGAGAGCAATGTGATTATTGTATCATATATTTTCTACCAATATTGCAGATCCTTTATCGGAACAAAGAAGCAGCAGTGACTATGCACCAAGAAAACAAAGAATCAGCAGTGTGTATGTAACAAGAGATGAAGCGTTTTCAGAGGTGAAACATCTGACATTTTTTACAAAGACACTGAATTCTGTGCTACGTACGTTGATCCCTTCGCTCGAGGCAGCAGGAATTCTTGATCCAGAACCAGAATTTACAGACTTCACAGCCATAGATTCACTGTTTAACGAAGGAGTCACGTTAGAAGATTTCCCAGACAATCTTCAAAGGGCTAGTCAAGACTATCCCATTGCTAGTCGAGGCTATTACAGGTGGCGAAAACAAACTTCTGCTCTTCAAGACCCCTGAAATAATTGACCGTAAGCCTCCCTCCCTCAAATTTCTAAATGATGATTCCCTCTTGAGGAAAACAGACCACGAAATTGTTGGCTTCACCCTGTATATCACTTGTCTTCTATTGCAGGTGATAAATTTGCTTGGTTTAGAGTTGATGCATTTTCCAGGCAAACTCTAGCTGGTCTTAATCCATGTAGTATCGAGATAGTGACGGTATGCTTTCTTTATTATTTTGCTGATACAAGTAGAACTCCTTCACTTCAATCAAGAAATTCAAATTTGTATATTCCATTTATCACCCGAGGTCGCCATCTTCCTTGGTGATCAAGTAATTAAAGAGTTACAAGCGTATCTTGTTTTAGCTGGTTAAACTCTATTTTTTCCTCTAGTGGCAATAAATTCTGTAATTTCCTGATGCAGGAATGGCAATTGAATAGTAAACTTGACCCCGAGATTTATGGATCCCCTGAATCATTGATCACAACAGAAGTGGTTGAGAAGGCGATCAAAGGTTGTATGACTGTCAATGAGATATAATAAACACACCCCAATCTCTTTAACATGCAACCAGGTTATGCAAAATTGCTTGAACATGAAATGTAGGCCTTGGAAGGAAAAAAAGATGTTTATTTTGGATTACCATGACCTGCTCATGCCTTACATAAACAAAGTAAGAGAGATTGAAGGTACCACACTGTATGGTTCTCGTACACTATTCTTCCTCACTGAAGATGGGACACTGAGGCCTATTGCCATTGAACTCACTCGACCGCCTGTTGCTGACAAGCCACAATGGAAGCAAGTCTTTACTCCAACCTGGGATGCCACCGGTCATTGGCTGTGGATTCTTGCTAAAGTCCACGTTCTTGCTCATGACTCTGCCAATCATCAGCTTGTCGTGCACTGGTAAGAAACGCGTACCCAAGATGGCTCAAATCCCTTTTTATATTGGCATTGAGCTACCAAACTAGTCGTGTAAATGGCATTTAAGCTGTAGCAATTAGGAAACCACGAATGTGGAACTTCACATCATGCCTCCTGCTCAAGTGTGCAACTTCGGTTATTGTAGCTGTGGCAATTGGGAACTATGAGACTAAGTCATGGATAATAACTTGTTTGTACTTTTATATTTTCACAGGCTGAGGACTCATTGCAGTACAGAGCCTTACATAATTGCAGCTAATCGACAATTACGCGCAATGAATCCCATCTACAGACTTCTGCACCCTCATTTGCGATATACAATGGCAATCAATGCTCTGGCTCGAGAAAGCCTCATCAATGCAGATGGAATCATTGAGAGCAACTTTTCACTTGGAAAGTACTGCACGGAGTTCAGTTCTGTTGCTTACGACCAGCTTTGGCGCTTTGACATGGAAGCTTTGCCAGAAGATCTCATCAGAAGGTATTATACTTGATAAAACTAGCATAAGACTAATCCAAACTATTTGATGCAGGAAACTTTATACAAAGAAGATTTTCAATTTTTACAAAGAAAACTTCACTGAAAATCCCACAGAATTTGAATTGCTTGTTCATATTTGGTTGATTGGATTTCAGGGGAATGGCAGTTAAGGATCCTACATCTGAGCATGGCTTGAAGCTAACAATTGAAGACTACCCATTTGCAAATGATGGTCTCATTCTGTGGGACGCCATTAAGGAGTGGGTGAGTGCTTATGTGAACCATTACTATCCAGACCCAAATCTTATTGAGTCTGATACGGAGCTTCAAGGTTGGTGGACAGATGTTAGAACCAAAGGTCATGCAGACAAGAAAGATGAGCCATGGTGGCCTGTTTTGAAAACCACGGAAAGTCTGATTCACGCTTTGACTACTATCATTTGGGTAACCGCTGGTCATCATTCAGCAGTGAACTTTGGTCAGTACACGTTTGCCGGATATTTCCCTAACCACCCTACAATTGCTCGAACCAACATGCCAACTGAAGATCCATCTGACGAGTTTTTCCAGAACTTCATGAAGAAACCAGAAATGGCTCTGCTGATGTGCTTCCCCTCACAGATTCAAGCAACAACAGTGATGGCCGTGATAGATGTACTATCGAATCATTCACCCGATGAGGAGTATATTGGTGATAGTCTAGAGCCAGCTTGGGCTGAAAATCCTGTTATAAAGGCCGCATATGAGAGATTCAGTGGCAATTTGAAGAGGCTAGAAGGAATTATTGATGAGAGAAATACCAATATGAAACTGAAAAACAGAGTTGGAGCAGGCGTTGTTCCATACGAGCTTTTGAAGCCATTCTCAACCTCCGGTGTCACAGGAATGGGAGTTCCAAACAGCATCTCTATCTAAATTTGATGATGAGGAATCGGTGTTCCAAACAGCATCTCTGTCTAGATTTTAGGTTGATGTTGTAAAAACTCTTTATGTATTCTATTTGGCCCTTAATAAATCAATAATACGGGGTGCTTAAAGTTCTGATGAAAACTGTTCCATGATTCCACCCAACTCGAACTAGTAACATCAGATAATTTGCGGATTGGAACAAGTAATATCAGATCACTAATGGGAAAGGTTAAGGTCCAGAGTGTAACTTGTTTCTTTGTTTCAAAGTACAGAGATCATTACATGAAAGTTACAAATTTCAGCGCTAACTGACGCTGCTGCAACTTCCGTATGCAGAGCCGGAAAATATGTCAACAGCAACATGATGTGAGCTTGTGAAACAGATATATAGCTTATTACTTGAAGTATGCTTATATACACGTATGTCTATATTATACATCGACGTGGTACAATAAATGAATGAACCAAAATGTGGAAAATCTATCCTAAAAGAATTCTTCCTACAAAGAATTAAAGAATTAGGGGACCTTCGCCTTCTGCTGAGTTGCTCATGAAAGTCCGGAAGTGAATCCAGGTGACAGTGAAGCTTCAGAGTTTCTCTCCACAGAACCTTATACGATGTTGTCTTATAAGCAGACATTTGTCTTGCCTCACTTGAATTTGTACACCAAGGAAGGAGTGTAGAAGAAACAATGTGAGCAAACTCACAAAATGAGTGTGATGCTGCGGTTGCTCTTAAAATCACCGTCCATCCAAAGAACCATCATTGCACTGGAGAACAAACCACTTTTCAGAAGGCTCAAATTCAAGGGATTTGCTGAGAAATTCAAATTTTTCGATTAGGTGGTCCATTGCAGAGTTAGCATTGTGCTCGAAATCTTCAGCAGTGACTCACATGTACGAATGAGTATTAGTATCATTGCACATGCACTCCGGAACGGGGTACTTTGTGACATCTTTTCCAACTCTACTACTCCTGAGGTCTGGCTGTCCTAAGGAATCTCTGTGCAATTCCTTTATGATCCTATTGAACTCTGCTTCAGGGAGAGAAGAGTTCAGAAAGTACGGAAGCATATGCCTCTTGTCTGGGGTTATATACTTCTTGTGGCCAGCATAGGCACGATGTCCCTGAAAGAGAATACAAAACTTGGTGTAAGTGAAGTCTCCATCAATTTAGATAAGCAAACTATGTAAAAGAACTATTAGTATGATAATTTCATATTGTTCGTCTTCCATGCATATTTTCTCAACACATATTTCTTTTTATTGCTCCAAATTGGAAAGGCCTCAATGACACATCGCTCATATTTCAGATCAGTTGACAATGTGAGATCAGTTGTGCATTTATCCAAGCATTTCATTTGTTTCACTAGATTTATTTTGAGCATTTTGTGCATTTATCTAAGCATTACTGGTTAACTTGATGTATTTTGATCATATTTGTTAATTGTTTTATCTAGCATATAGTATATACATTTACTAAAACAAAAACGAATAACTATACCTGCATAACATGGCCCATATTTCCCCCATGAGAAGGCATGAAGACATCACTATTCTCGGAAACTATATAATCAATGGCAGCCATGACAGAAGCTCTGTTTGCAAAAGGTTCTAGTTCACCAGGCAAAGCAAGATCTTCCTTATTGTAAAAATGGGGAAATTCTTCAATTAACGGTAGTAAGGCTTCTTTTCCACCAAAAGGCTGCCCGCCAGCCCAATATATTCTTGCACTTTTTGGAGCTCCAAGAGCTTTAAGCAACCTAAAACACAAGATTTGGTTTGTCAGAAAACTCTCTGCTACAAAAAAAAAAAAAAAAAAAATCTATTTGGTTTAATTAAAATGCCTAAATGTGACTATCATACCTGGTCACCTCCACGGCATTCAAGGGGCAGAGACCTGCAAGTTTTCTTTCATGGTAAGTCATGTTTGATCTTCCAGTTAGGAGCTCTGGCCGCCGTATCCTCTCATTGTAAACTATCTCATCATATTCAGGACTCAAACCAGGAAGACAACCGGTCCTCACCCATACGTCCTTCTCCATTCTTAAATGAAGCGCAAGGTAAGGACCCTTATTGCGCATCCTCTCTGCAAGCTTGTTACCAATTCCCAAAATTGGAGGAGCAAACCTCAATGCATGAAAAGCAACCTGAAGTCAAACAAGGAAGAGATTACAGTCAGCCGTCTATAGGACCTTGTTCCAATTCTGTAATGAAACAAAGTCAGCTAGCATATACAAAAATAAAATATAAACATATTTAGCGAATTACCTTGAATCGAAGCTTTTGAAGATCAGAGGGAAGATCCTTAGAGAGCCTTGAATCCAAGCCTCTTAGAAGCAGAACCCCTTCTCTTTTAATCTGCATAGAAAAGGAGGAATTAGCATAATTTATAGTGCCAATTGAAATTCCACAGGAAATTCGTTTGTAAAACCACAAATAACAAAACCGATAAACAGGGTTAAAAAAATCATGTTACGATATTAGACACAAGGAAAATGAATTAAGCATGATCAGAAAACCCTGAAATCGTCATTTGTTATATAGTTAAAATGTTCGGCAGCACATAAAGTATATCTGCAGTCTGCACAAGGTTTACATAATAAGGACAATATTTTAGTCATAAAGGTTGGACTGGACGGCTCTTCAATTGTGTTACCACGGCATGGTTAGACTATATTTCTAACAGTTATAGCTATTGAGGGCTTCCCATGCTATTGTAGCAACACTTGTAGACTAAAATATGAGAACAACCGTTAGAAAGCTGACATTTTTCGTAGGAACGCACCAGCAAAAACAAACAACCAAACAAAATTTTTTTGGTGTCACTAGGCCCACAAATAACAAACTAAACAACTGCTAAAGCATCTTTTCCTCTATTCCATATTTCCTTAATTCAAATATTTAGGAAAAACAACCGGGTTGCTTCAATGCAAGCACAAAGACAGCAATGATTCTTACCCTCTTGTGATAATGCGACCGAATCCAATTAGGCGAAGCATGTAGAGGAGTCCGTTTCTCCTCCACTGGCCTTGTCATTATATGCGTCGATGGTAGTGCAGAAACTATCCGAACATCGTCAGCAAGAACTTCCTTAAAGTGCTTCAAATCAAATATATCAGAAAATTCACTGCACCCATCAAACGAAACACAGAAAATCAATTTCAGTCTCCTAAGCAAATATATTGCAACATAAGCTATTCATAAACCAACAACAACAAATCCTAACTATTCGTGGGGGCGGAATCGGGTAATAAACCATTCTAAAAAGGAAATATAATAATTTAGCATAATTCTATGAATCATGATACACAACAACACTAACTCATTGAATCCAATAAAAGGCAAGTAATTTAGTGAGAAAAATGTGAGTTGAGTTGCAACATTGTATACCTTTCATCTCCCCAGATGACATTAACTTGAAAAATAGGAACCACCAGAGCAGCTCCAAGAATCCTGGCAATAACAACAGCATCGACAATCTGATTCCTCTGCTGGTTCATCCCACCAGAAACCACAACAATCAGGTATTTAGTCCTGTCCTTCACTATCCCTTCACTAGCTCTTTTATACTCCGTCGTCAAATCCAAGCACGGCCGATACCTCAAACCATCCGGCTGCTTCCAAAACTGACTCCCATCAGCTTCCTCTCCGACCTTCCCACTGTTTGGCTCAACCCCCACCTCTGATTGCAAAACCCCACTCGAAATCAACGGCTGGGATTCGCTCAAAACCTCGACTTGGTGGCTGTTTTCACCGTTTGAAGCAAAACCCATGTGTGATTTTAAGTACCTATTGGAGACCAAGTCCTGGAGCTGAGTTGTGGAACATGGGTATGGAGAGTACGGGACTAAACGGTCGAAATTGAATCCCAGCTTCAGCATCCCAATAATTCCAAAGAGGAAGAGGAAGAAAACCCAGAACTTTGGGGTCCTGTAGTTGCTGAGCCAGCTCAAGCAGCTGCTACTTTTGCTCCTTGAAGATTTCTTGGGAGAAACGAGGAGCGATTGCAGAGAAGAGGAAGACAGAGAGTTGATAATCTGAGAAGGGACTGAAATGTAAGAAAGCTTCTTGGTGGTGCTGTTGTTCTTCGACCTCGCCATTGATAGGCTGAGAAACACTGTAATAACTCTCTCTTCTTCTTATTTCAAGAAAGAAAAGAAAAAAGTTGAGATTTTTTTATGGGTTTATTTATTTATGAGATTCCTTCACTCGCATTGACCACTCGGAGGGAGAGGGAGGGAGAGAGAGAGAGAGAGAGAGAGAGAGAGAGAGAGAGATGGTGTGAAACAGGCGGCGGGAACGCGGAAGCCTGAGAAGAATCGTACGCGTTAACGTTTATATTTATGAAAGAACAAGGGGTAGGAAAGGTAAGCCCGCAGCTTCACAGAGAGACTTCAGCTGGTTTATTTATATACAATTGGCTAAGTGGGATGTGAACTATTAAATCCTGTCCCTAACATTGTTTAATTAATTTTTTTTTTAATTTTCTGACAGGACTCTATCTCTAAATACATTATACATGGTTTCTTATAAACCTTTTTTTTTGGGCAAAAACACATACCGGTGATTATATACACACACAATGTCATATCTGCGTTACTAGCTGCATCAGCAATATCAACGATATCTTCCTAACAAATGACTTTATTTAGCACAATTTGTTGAGCAACCTATTTAGAAAGTAAAACAACTATATTCACAAGGAATTCGAACATAGAATTTCAAGATTCAAAAGTAAATAGTTATATATATATATATATATATATATATTTGAGCTACAAACATCCTATTGTTTTATTATGAGATAGTTAATAACCGTTTCGTTTTTAATTTTAATTTTTTTAAAGTTAAAAATTGATTGAAAACTAATTTTAGTTTTTTTAAGTTTTCACAAATATGAAAACTAATAATTGAAACAAAGTTTGAAAACTAAAAAAAAAAACTTCCAGTTTTCAAATGTAATTACAAAATAAATTTTAATTTATAAAAATAAAAACTGATATGATTATTACACGAATTTTGTAAAAGATTTTAAGGTAATGCTAGAGAGACCAAAATGTAAACCTAATGATGTGGTTGTTGATGACTAAATTATTAACTAAATATCAATTAACATACTTATTTTCTATTAGTAACAT